TGGACTGCCCTGTCCACCAGACCATCGGATGATGGACACTGTCTGAACATGCCGAATGCCATTCGACTTCAGGAAATACTCAAAATCCCTGCTGCTAAATGACATCCATTGTCTATGGCCAGTACTTCCAGCGGTCTGTATATGGCGAAAATGCTTGCAGCATTTCAATCGTCATCCCTGAGTTTGCCAAATGAACTCCATGCACATCTTTGAATGGGCATCCACAATGACCTAGAACATTGAGCCCATTAAAGGACCAGCATAGTTGACGTGTAACCAAGTCCATGGTTTACCAGCCCCCATTCCCTCAGCTGATCAAATAGCCTCAATAGCAGTTGATAGTGATGAACATTGAACATAGAACAGTACAGCACAATACAGGCTCTTGTCCTTCTATTGTCCTTCTCTAAGATCAAACTACCCTGCATACCCTACATTTTACTATCATCCATGAGCCTATCCAAGCGTCGCTTAAATGTCCTTAATGTATCTGACATGAGATGACAGTTACATCAATTCCTGTGAGAGCGGGGTGTCATGCATCGCGAATGACTTTTTTCTCACCAAGCTTAGCTTGGTTTTCATTTGAAACTCTGCACTGGCCCTTCAGTCTCATTGCTCATACTTAGCCAGTATAGCACTTCTCTTGCCTCCTCAGACTAGACTTTATTCTTTAATGATTTGCAGTGATATGGTTCAGGATCTCTTTTCTCATCTCCTTAGGGATACTGACTCGATTTCATTTGTACAAGATGCCATTTTTGGTTTTCACGTCACCTCTGTGTGCCTAAAACTCCCTTATGGCAATAGGTATACCCTAGGTGGTTCCAGACTGTCCTTGCAGCACTACTTCCCGCAGAATTTGCACAGTGGCATCTAGATCTTGTTTGTTTGATCTGAGCAAATGTTTATCCTTCACAGTCCAAGCCTCTGCTGTACAGGTGATTTCCAAAGCACATTGAAGTGTTGCTTCACATTGAATCTGGAAGATTTCACATTCTGCAGGAGCATCCTCAAGAGGCATCCTCAAGGCCATATACAGACCGCTGGAAGTACTGGCCATAGACAATGGGATGTCATTTAGCAGCAGGGATTTTGAGTATTTCCTGAAGTCGAATGGCATTCGGCATGTTCATTTTTCATGGCGGTGTTCCTTTCAACAGCATGTCAACAATATATATCTGCTTTCCTCACTTCTGCATTTCTTCTGAATTATAGTCCTTGAACATTAAGTAACATCCTCTTGCAGACATTTTATGGAAGATAAAAGCAATCTGATATGCTTTGAAGTTGCATCTGGTGTGATTTTACTATAACTGTCTTACCCAAACAAGTATTAGCTAAAATGTTCACAAGCAAAGAAAATAGCCAAGATCTCTTTATCAATCTGTGCAGAGTGTTGTTCATTAAAACACTGGGTGTAAACACAACACATTGTCCTTGCTGCAGAAGATAGTTTTAAGTACTGTCTTGTTGGCATCACACTGTTGGGTGACTTTATTGTTGAAACTGTAGCCATTAAAGTTGCTTCTCGTTCTGTGTCCAAATACCATTGCACATGCTTTGCAGTGAGACAACTCAAAAAGATTAAGGCAGTGAATACGATATATTTAGGAGGGAGACAATGTCCTAGTGGTATTATGAATAGAATAGAATCCCTACAGTGTGGAAACAGGCCCTTCGGCCCAACAAGTCCACACCGACCCTCGGAGCATCCGACCCAGACCCATCCCCCTATAACCCACCTAAGCTACACATCCCTGAACACTACGAGTAATTTAGCATGGCCAATCCACCTAGCCTGCACACCTTTGGACTGTGGGAGGAAACCGGAGCACCCAGAGGAAACCCACGCAGACACGGGGAGAATGTGCAAACTCCACACAGACAGTCGCCCGAGGGTGGAATCAAACCCGGGTCCCTGGCACTGTGAGGCAGCAATGCTAACCACTGAGCCACCGTGGCACCCCAATCATTGGATTTTTACTTCAGAGATCCAGGTAATGCCCTGGGGACCCAGGTTTGAATCCCACCATGGTAGAATTTGAATTCAATAAAAATTGAAAATCTAAAAAAGACTATGAAACCATTGTCGATTGTCAGAAAAACCCATCTGGTTCACTTATGTCCTTTAGGGAAGGAAACTGCTGTCCTTACCGAGTCTGGACTGCGTGTGAATCCAGACCCACAGTAATGTTATTGACTGTTAACTGCCCTCTGAGATGAGCAAAATAAATGTTGGCCTAGTCAGTAATGCCCTCATCCCTTGAATTAATGAGGAAAAAATCAAGGGCAAACTAGCAACTAATATAAAAACAGACAGTAAGAGCTTCTTGAAATATATCAAAAGTAAAAGCAAGGTTAAAGTGAATATACTTAGAAAAGGATGCTGGGGAAATAATACTGGGGAACTAGGAAATGACAGAGATATTGAAAATAAATTGCATCAGTCATCATTGTAGACAACTCTAACATCAATAATCAATTGGTTGGAGGTGAAATAAAACCAATAACTATCACTAGAGAAAAAGTACTGTTGAAACAAATGGGGTAAAAGGTTGATGAGTCCCCTGGAGCTTATGGGATCCATCCTATGCTTTTAAAAGATGTAGCAACAGAGATAATAGATGCAGTCAGTAGTCATAATCTTCCAAGAATCTTTAGATTCAGATTGGGAAATTTCCCAAAATTTCAAATTCAAAATGGGAGGCGAAAAAATTAACTGTAGGTCAGTTAGCTTAACATCTGTCAGTGAGAGAATGTTAAAATCTATTATAAAGTTTGCAATAGCTCAGCATTCAGAATTAAGAAAACTATAATAGCACAGCATTCAGAAATACATAATAAAATTGTCAGCATGGTTTCACGAAGGGAAAAGCACACCTGACAAATTTATTACAGGCCTTTGAAGTCTAACATGCAGATAAATAATGGGGAATCATTAGATATAATATATTTGGATTTCTACAAATCATTCAATATAGTACTGCAGGTAAGGCTTCTTAATAAAGTAAGAGCCCAGAGTATTGGGGGTAGTATATTAATATGGATAGACAATTGGCTAACACATAGAAGATAGAGATTTGGGATAAGGCGGCCAGTATCCGGTTGGCAACCATAACTAGTGGTGTGCTGCAGGAATCAAGGCTGGAGCCACAATTACTTACAATATTTATTGATGACTTGGATGAAGAAAGTGAAAGTACTATCACCAAGTTTGCAGATGACACAAAAATAGGTGGAATGATAAGTGGCAAGGATGACATAAAGAATTTTCATAGGGATATAGACAACGGGCAAAAACTTGGCAGATGTGGGAAAATGTGAAGTGATACACATTGGCAAGAAAAGCAGAAGAACAGAATATTATTTAAATGGAGAAAGACTGCAGAAATCCACAGCATGTAGGGATGTTGTTTCTTCATTCATAGGATGTAGGCATTGCTGGCTAGGCCAGCATTTATTGCCCATCCCTAATTGCCTCAAGACAAGTTAACAGTCACCCACATTGCTGTGGGTGTTGAGTCACATGTAGGCCAGATAGGATAAGGACAGCAGATTTCCTTCCTTGTCCCTCTCCCTTATGAATAAATCACAAAAAGCTAGCATCCAATTGCAGTGGGTAATAGAGTAGACTGTTGGCCTTTATTTCAAAGGGAATAGAATCAACTGGTTGAGCCCAGATATGGAGGAACTGTCTCATTTGGGAGGTTGAGTAGGCTGGGCTTGTACTCATTGGAGTTTAGAAGAAGGAGAGGCAAGCTTATTGAAACCTGTAATATTCTTGGGAGGTTTGACAGGATAGCAGTGGAGAGCTTGTTTCCATTCCAGGGGGGATCTAATACCAAAGGGCTTTAGCCTCTCTGCTTCATTTTTCTTCTGTGGAATGGAAATTCTTAGGAATCATTCCATCATTTGGCCTCACTTTACTTTTTCACTTTACCAGTTCTGAAGAAGAGTCAAATGGGCTTGAAATATTAACTCTGTTTCTCTTTCCAAAGATGCTGCCTAAAGAGTGAAATAAAATAAAGAGACACGAACAGCTCAGTATTATAGCAAGGATGTAAATGCTAAAGCAAAATAGCCCATTGTGTAGAAAATTACTGAGAAACATCATATACATATCGGGTAGATGTCCGAGAGCAGGAAATCAAAAACACAAAGTTTGGAGTGGATCTGAGTCATAGAATCTCTACAGTGCAGAGAGACGCCATTTGGCCCATTCGGTGTGCACCAACTCTCTGAAGAGCATTCCATCCAGACTTATTACACCCATTTTATCCCTGTAACCCTGCATTTACCATGGCTAATCCACATAACCTGCATATTTTTGGATTGTGGTAAGAAACTAGAGAAAACCCATGCAGACACAGGAAGAACATGCAAACTCTACACACAATCACCTGAGGCTGGAATTGAACCCAGATCCGTGGCACTGTGAAGCAGCAGTGCTAACTGCTGAGGCACCATGCCACCTTTAACTCTGTGGCTATCTATAATTTTGCCATTGAACTGGAAGAAATTCTAAGTTTGCCTCAAATCACCTTTCATGTCAACATGAACAGGGACTGCAAAATTCATAGCCATACTGACTCACCCAATTCTACAGAATTGCAAACTGAAGCTCAAATTATTCCCTGCTGCTTCCCATAGTGGATAACTCTTGTAAACTGTCAAAACGCACACAATTTCAGCAGCATTCTCCTAATATCATGTTCCCAGAGGCCAGTTTTAATGATTTTGCTCTTCAAGCCTCAAACAGAAAACAACAACATCCAATGTCATATGATTATGGCAAGTCACAGTGTACAAGCCACTGTGGACAAGTACATTTCTCCATTAACCAAGATGAAATAACTATATTAGAATAAATGTGATACCCAAAGTCATCCAGAAGTATAAATTCAAAGAGCAATGTTTCTTCAAATGTAAGCACATGTGAAAATTGCATTTAATTTGTTCATGTAATCATATTAAAACTTCATTTTCAGGAAGTAAATAAAAATTTGAAGTTATTCCATCAGCTACGAGGATCCATATGTTTAACAGACAACAGTTCTCAATGTGACAGAACTACACGAACTTTAATAACCCAATGGTATGACTTTTAGGTGTAACGATATTGTGGTTTTGCACATGTGTTAATTTCCCTACACCCACATCCCTCTCCCCTCCCCATCCCTCTTCCCTCCCCATCCCTCTTCCCTGTCCCTCTTGTCATTCCCTGTCTCTGTTCGCTGTATCACCTGTCCTGCTCCCTTGACCCTTTCATAGAATTATAAAATCCCTACAGTGTGGAAACAGGTCCTTCAACCCAACAAGTCCACACCGCCCCTCAGAGCATCCCACCCAGACCCATACCTCATAACCCACCTAATCTACACATCCCTGAGCACTACGGGCAATTTATCACTGCCAATCCGCCTAGCTTGCACAGTCTTTGGACTTTGGGAAGAAACTGGAACACCTGAAGGAACACAGGGAGAATGTGCAAACACAACACAGACGGTCACCCGAGGGTGGAATCGAATCTGGGTTCCTGGTTCTGTGAGGCAGCAGTGCTAACCACTGAGCCACTGTGCCGCCCGGGTCAGGTATGTAGCCATAGAATGCTCAAAATGGGAATGACCATTGAAGTATTGGGTCTGTGGTGAAGATGAAAGGATTTGGTTGGGATGACAATGGAACAATTGAGTTGGAGAGGGTGACTCTGAAAGGTTGAGTTGTTCATTTGAAAGGATTAGGTAAGGATGGGTATGGAAGGATTGGGTTGAGTGTGATTATTGAAGTACTGGGTTTGTGCTGACTATGGAAGGGTCGAAGTGAGGTGACAATGGAAGGTTTAAGTTCATGGTGACTATGGAAGCGTCAGGTAGTGGTGACTATGGAAAAGTTGAGATGGGATGTTTATGGCAGGGTTGAGGTGTGGTGAGTATTTGAAGGGTTGGATGGGTTGTGACTGTGGAAATGTGGATGTGGGATGACAATGGAAGGGTTGAACTCATGGTGACTATGGAAGAGTAGGGTTGGTGATACCTATGGAATTGTTGAGGTGTGGGTGAGTATGGAATTGTTGAGATGAGGGTGATTTATGGAAGGGTTGAGATGGGGTGACTATGGAAAGGTTGAGGTAGGTCTGATTATGGAAGGGTTGAGGTGGGTCTGACTATGCAAGGGTTGGAATGGGGTGAATATGGAAGGATTTGGTTGGTGGTGACAATGGAAGTGTTAAGGTGGTGGTGACTATGGATGGGTGAGGTGTGGGTGAGTATTTGAAGGGTTGAGTTGGCAGTGACTATGGAAGACTTGAATTAGGCTGACTATAGAAATGTTGAAGTGTGGGTGAGTATGAAATTATTGAGATGTGGGTGATTGTGGAAGGGTTGAAGTGGGGGTGACTATGGAAGGGTTGAGGTGTGGGTGAGTATAAAATTGTCGAGATGAGGGTGATTTTGGAAGGGTTGTGATGGGGGTACCTATGAAAGGTTTTGGTTGATGGTGACTATGGAAATATTGAGTTGATGATGATAATGGAACGGTTGAGTTGGTGGTGATTATGGACGTGGGGAGCTGGCAAGGTCATGGAAGGATTGAGTACGGGATAGGTATGAAACCATCTATTTATTTCAGGAATTGCCCCTGACACCTACAAACAGCCACTGCCCTGGCATGAGGTAAGGGAGAAAAAAGTGAATGAAGAATCTGGCACTGAGAGCTCCCTGCCATTCTAATTGTCAACTTGCTCAGCCAGTCACTGCTGTGGATCTGGCAGGCTAGCCTGCAAAGCATCCAATCAGTGGTGACAGTAGAAGGGAATAGTAAGGAGGAGAACAAACCCTGGATTGGATTCACTACAATTTGAATCAATGTGTTGATTGATTTATATGCCAGGATTTTAAAGAATTGAGTATTTAAATTGATACTAAGTTAATTAACTCACAATCCAAAAACTGTACATTAAGTCGATATGCGTGCTTGCATCAACAAATATAATAGCTAGACAAAGTATCCAAAATCAGTAACATCAACCTGCACTTATATAGCGTCTTTAATTTAACACACTTACACACTTTCATTTTCACATTTTCACAGTGTTGTTATTAAGCAAAGTTGAACACACAACAAGCCATTCAGATGGGGAGGGGGAAACTAAAACTTTGTCAAAAATATACATTTTTACATACATCTTAAAAGAGGGAGGATAACTGAAGAGATGAATTCCAGAGATTAGGGATTTGGAAACATGGATGAGAATTAAAAATATAATCTTTACTAACTGTCATGTAATGTGTGAGCGGGTCCTGGTGTATAGTAGGATACCAGCAGTAGCAGTTTAGACAAGGTCAAGTCTTTGGAGGGTGAATAGTGCTTGGCTTATATAACAATATGTCCTTCATTTTAAATCTTTACTACAGTTGTAGAGAATATTGTTTTGCTGCAGATGTATAGGATATTGCTGAGACCCACATTTGGATTATGATAGAGTTTTGTAGTTTTAGTTTCCTTATTTAAGACATGTTGTAAGCACATTGGAAACAGTTCAGAGAATATTCATTCGACTGGTACCTGGAATGAGGGAAGGTTGGACAGATGGACTTGTATTCATTGGAATTTAGAAGAATGAGAGTTAATCTTGTTGAAATATCCTGAGGAAAGATCTTGAGGGAATGTGACAAGGTAGGGCTGTTAAGAAGAGACCAGAACTAGGAGAAAAGGTTAAAAATCTGGGATCTTCTGTTTAAGATGGAAATGAGAATGAATTTTTTTCTCTCAGAAGGTCATGAGTCTATGGAGCTCTCCTCCCCAGAGTGGTGGAAACTTGGTCATTAAACATTTTTAACGGAGAAGTGGATAGATTCTTAACTAACAAGGGAGTAAGAAGTTATGAGGTGGTTATTACATTATCTACATAGAAATATAGATTTGTGGTTACAATCAGATCAACCATGATCTTATTGAATAGTGGAGCAGGCCCAGGGTCTGAATAATGTATTCCTGTTCCTAATTCAAATATGTGTATATATTATAAAGGTATACATGTCACACAACTTTGGTCAGTGGTTTGAGTAACCATAATAGAAGGGAAACAGGCTGGGCGGTCCAAGCCTTGACAGCAGAGGCGGGTGGAAGAGGAAATAGTTGAAAGTGACACGCAACTAAAAAGATTCAGCAAGAATTTTAAGGTAATGTGCCATGTGGGAATCCTATGGAATTAGGTCTTTATTGCACTCTGTACAATGTTACCGTCAATGTGGAGAATAACATCAGGTAGGCTATAAATTTACGTATTGAGCAAGCTCTCCTTGTCACCGTTACATTGATCTTTCTACAGTTACTTTTCCTCTGAGCTTTCCTTCTGTCCCACCTAAGTCACCACTACTCCAGTCCACATATTGTCCCTCCTTCTGATGCCACACTGAAATCACTCTGCATGGTTTCCCACTTAAATTCATTATTTCTTGGCCTTCCAAATTCTTCCCTGCTTTCAGTTCTCCCACACATTATAGAGTTGTAAAGGAAATGTGGTGGTCATTGATTTTATGTGGAACTTGAATTCCGTTAATTTAACTGATCAAACTTCTTCTTTGCCAACAGGATGGGGCATTGACCATGAGTGAGAAGGCCACACCAGCTAAACGCAAGTCCTCTGCTGAGGAGCAAAACATAAACCGAGTCCACCCTCTTCAAGCTGAGCTCTATGACCAGTGCAAAACCATCTACAACACCGATATACTGAACATCATTAAAAGAAGCCCCAGTTTCATCAGGACAGGGCAAAGTTCAGCAAAAATACTTTCTGCAGAGCAGGTAGAGTTCACGGCCAATTGAGCAAATAATACAACAATCTGATTCCAATGGTGTTTATGTGATTATGAAAGAGAGTGCTAGCAATGGAATAATTTCCACTTACAATGTAATTATGTCCTTTCTGAAATAAGGACATCAAAAGTGTACGCAGAACTCCAGATGGTAGTTTCAATCAATGCCCTGCACAACCGGAGTTAAACATCTTAACTTTTAGATTCCATTCTTCTTGCAATAAATGCCATTTGACTTCCTAATCACTTGCAATATCTGCTTAACATTTATGAATCATCTGGCCATCCGCTCAGTCCCTTAAACTCTCCCAGCACTGATACAGCAAAGGTTAATATGAGCTGTGAAGATCCCTCAACAGTTTCTAATTAAGCTCTACCATGGTTATTATTGTGGTTGGTGGGCCATTGTTGCCAGACTTGCTGAGCTTTACCACCGTTTCCTGTTTAGCAGCATACAGACTGCCAGAACGAACAGATATAGTGCTCATGTAATTTCCTGTGGTCAGACGTGAAATGCTGCACTTTAGAAGCATCGGCATGGATAATCAGTTTAATTTAAAGAACTTTATTCTGAGAGGTGGAGGGGGCATAGGCGTGCACATGCGCAAAGCTTTGAAAGTGTCAGGCTACGTTTATAAGGTGATTAAGGAAGCTGGGATACTTGGCATTGTCAATAAGATCAAATGCAACATAAAATCAAACCAGTCCTGTAATGTGAAACCATTACATGTCACAAGTTGGACCTCAACTGAGTGTTTTATGCATTCTGAGGAAGGGTCACTGGACCGAAATGTTAACTCTGATTTCTCTTCACAGATGCTGCAAGACCTGCTGAGCTTTTCCAACAACTTCTGTTTTTGTTTCTGCTTTATGCCATCTTTGTTCCCACAATTAATGGAGACGACATACCTTTGTAGTGGATACAAGAGGGCGATTACCAGGCCAGAAGGACCTGGGGTACACAAGGTGGCTCAGTGGTCAACAATGCAGCCTCACAGTGCCAGGGACCCAGGTTCAATTCCACCCTTGGGTGACTGTCTACATGGAGTTTGCACATTCTCCCTGTATCTGCATGTGTTTCCTCTGGGTGCTCCGGTTTCATCCTGATGTGAAGGCTAATTGGATTAACAATGCTAAATTGCCCATAGTGTCCAGGGCTGTGCAGGTGAGGTGGATTAGCTGTGGGAAATGCAAGGTTACGGGGATAGGGTAGGAGGCTGAGTCTGGGTGGAATGCTGTTTGGAGGGTCAGTGTGAATGTGATGGGCTGAATGGTTGCTTTCACACTGTAGGGATTCTATGATCTATTCTATGACTTGAAAGTTGAAGAGGATTCCACTGGAACCTTCACGAGCAGTTGGACAGGAATTTGATGATGATGAATTTTCAGAGTAATGGGGAAGATATTGACAGCAACATTAATTGAGATACCTCATTTGAATCTGTACTGAATACAACAAATGCTGGAGATCAAAGAGGGTCAGGCAGCATCCATGGAGAGAAAGCAAGCTAACGTTTCGAGTCTCGATGACTCTTCATCAGAGCTGACGTGGAGGGGGCAGCATCTATGCAATAGTGGGGTGGGGTAGGTGCTGAGTATTGGGGAAGAAACGATGTTGACAGTTCAGATTTAGTGACCAGAGAATAAGAATGGTGTGTCTAACTGCCAGGCTGGAAAGAATAAACAGTCCCACTGGAGTGGGGGGAGTGAGGAGAGGACGTGGTGACAAAGAATGTAACAAGTAAAGCTAAAAGAAAAGGAAGAAATGGGAGTGGGTTCACAATCTGAAGGTGTTGATCTCGATAAAAATAAAATCAGAAAGTGCATAGTCTGAAGATGAGATGTTGCTCCTCCAGTTTTTTGCTGGAGCAAATTGTTCTGCCGTTCTCACATTCTGATTACCTAATTTGAAATATTAACATTGTTTCTCCCCCAGCAATCCACACACATTCCCCACCCACCCACTATTGTATAAGTGCTGCCCCTTCCACACCTCACGCCAGCTCCGATGAAAAGTCATCTAGACTCAAAATGTTAGCTTACTTTCTCTCCATGAATGCTGCCAGGCCCACTCTGAATTCCAGCATTTTTGGTTTTCAGTCAATCAAATGACCATTCTGGAGATGATGGGTGAATAATATTCTGGGCTATAAAATGCTATGATTCTATGAGAAAAGCTTTCGCTGAACTGTAAAAACAGACAAAATCCTGAAGCTGATATGGTATTGTTTGATATGGTATATGTCCCTACTCAGAGCACCATCAAATACTCTCATGATGGTTCTAGTAAAGGTGACAGGCAGAGTACAGCACCGTCTGAACTCTCGCATCAAAACTACATAGATGAACCAAGGCATGGATAAGTTCAATAGTGGAGCTCTGCCTAGAACATCACAATAACTATGAGGGGAATACTACAAGTTAGACACAGCATAAGATTGCAACAGTACTCCCAGTAAACAATTCCAACAATCGCAAAGCAGACAGTGAGACACAGAGCAAAGATTCTCCTTCACTTTCCAGCCAAACTTCTTCACAGAAAGCATAGCATAGGGTTAGATACAGAGTAAAACTCTCATTACACTGACCCCATCAAACACTCCCAGGACAGAATCTGCACAGGGTTAGACCCAGAGTAAAACTTCCTTTAAAATGACCCCATCAAACACTCCCAGATTATAAAATCTTGCAGCTGCTGATAGCATATGGAGTTCAACAGCACACATTGAAACAAGGAAAGAATATGAGCAATTTACGAGCGATATTGGTAGATTAAGTAAGTGGACAAAAAGTTGGCAAACAGCGTATAATGGGAGAAAATTTGAAGTTGTATATATTGGAATGGAGAATAAAATAACAGTATTATTTAAAGTGTAGAGAAACTGCAGAAAGCTGCAACACAAAAAGGACTTGGGGATACTTATGCACACAGGTGCAGTCGGTAATCAGGAAGGCTAATGGAATTACCAGGATGCTGCCTGGACTGGAGGGCAAGTCTTATGAGGAAAGGTTGAGGGAGCTAGGGCTTTTCTCATTGGAGCAAAGAAGGATGAGAGGTGACTTGATAGAGGTATACAAGATGATGAGAGGCATAGATAGATTGGATACCCAGAGACTTTTTCCCAGGGTGGAAATGACTATTACGAGGGGGTATAATTTTTAAGGTGATTGAAGGAAGGTATAGGGGAGATGTCAGAGGTAGGTTCTTTGCACAGAGAGTGGTGGTTGCGTGGAATGCGCTGCCGGCAGTGGTAGTGGAGTCAGATACATTAGGGACATTTAATCGACTCTTAGATAGTAACATGGATGATAGTAAAATATAGGGTATGCAAGGTAGTTTGACGTTAGAGTAGGATAATAAGTTGGCACAACTTCATGGACCGAAGGGCCTGTATTGTGCTGTACTTTTCTATGTTCTATGTTGGTCTTTATTTCAAGGTGGTTAGTACTGTATAACTCTACTCTATACTCTGTAACTGTACAAAGTGCCAGTGACACCACATCTAAAGATAAAGATACCGTAGTCTTACATACCAAAAAGCTGCTCTCTCATTAGATAATGTTATCATAGAAAAATCATAGAATCCCTACAGTGCATATTGAGGCCATTTCGCCTATCGAGTCTGAACTGACCCTCCGAAGTACATCACACCCTATCCCCATAACCCCAAATTTATAATGGTTGCAATGTGCAATGCTGCACATCCATGGACACTGCAGGGCAATTTAGCATTGCTAATCCACCTAATCTGAACCCACACAACCATGGAGAGAATGTGCAGACTCCACCCAGATGGTCACCCAAGGCTGGAATCGAATCCAGGTCCCTGGTACTTGAGACAGCAGTACTAACCAATATACCACCATTCCACCCTAAGGATCACCACACCTTGGGTGAAGGGAGAGGTTGAGAAGGAGAATCCTTCATGGTAAATTCAGCTGGTGTGGACATTGAACCCAGACTGTTAAGCATCACAAACTGGCTGTCCAATCAAATGAGCTAACTGACCTCCAACCACATCGAGAGTCCTGTGAGCAGTTTTGGTTCTCTTATTTAAGGAGGATTATCATTTTATTGGAGACACTTCATAGAAGGTTCACTAGATGATCCCTGGTATGGAAGGAGTGTCTTAGTGGAACTCTACTCACTGGTATTTAGAAGAATGAGAGGTGATCTCATTGAAATAAATAGGATTTTTAAGGGGATTAACAGGGTAAATGCTAAGATGGTGTTTCTGTTCATGGGAGATCTAGGACCAGAGGACATAATCTCAGAATAAAGGAGCACTAATTTAAGGCTGACGTGAAGAGGAACTTCTTCTCTCATAGGGTTGTGAGTAACTGCTTACTACAGACAGCTGTGCTGGCAAAGTCCTTGCATATATTTAAGGCTGAGATAAATAACTTTTCATCAGTAGGAGAATCAAGGGTTATGGGGAAAGGGCAAGAAAGGGACCTGAGGAATGTTGGATCAGCGATCATCATATTGAGTCACAGTGCAGGCTCAAGAGACTGAACAGCCTCATTCTGTTCCTCTTTTTTGTGGTCTTATAAGATTATTTGTTATGTGTTAGTAAGTAGGCATTACAAAAGGATATTTAAAAAAGGAGGCAGTTGAATTTAAGAAACAGATCAGTCATCATTCAAACAAACAGAATTAAGATGCTGAATAGACTCTTCTCTGTTAGAAACCCATAATCAGAACTTAATTTATTCATCTGTTTATCTGCTTCAGGACCAGTTCAGAAAATGGATTCGTGATAACATCAGGAAAAAGGAGTGCACCCATTTTTCTGAGAGACAGACTGCTGGGTAAGACAGAGAAGTGAACGATTGTGTTGGCTGGATCTGGAACAGATAAATCACAAGCTTCATCAAATACTCAAAATTCTAGTTTTCACCCTGATATTGAATTCAGGATGACTTGAAAAGTGGTTGACTCATTTCCAGTGCGGTCATTGATGACATGATATACAACAGGTTAATTAATTCCACTCACAGATCAGACCATCAAAACAAAATCTCAGCATTTATCTTGCATTAAGCAATTTCTGTGGGCTTACTGAAATATCACTGCACTGATGCAATGATAGCTGACTGTGCAGCACTATTTGCAGATCCACAAACTCAAAATGCTCATTGGCATCTGTCTTCTCCTCTTACACCCAACTTGGACAGCTGCAAAACGGTATGATCCAAAATAATCTGGTCATTTGTGGTGTCACATTTGCAATAAATAACTGAAAGCAGCTGGATTGTCAATAAAACCAAACTCACTCATGAATGTAGCAGTAAAATGAGATTCCTGCAAATTCTGATGATATTAAATATCAGAGGATAAAAGAAGACACCAGTCAAGAATGAGAGAGAGACACTACACTAGCGAGCTGTATTTGAGAACCTACTATGTACAAGGGTGGTGTAGTACAAAAGGATTCGAAGAGCCTACTTTACTGAAAAGGAGCAAGCAGCTTCATAGCCATATATGTCCAGACCTCCACAGCTGAAATATTCCTGATGAGTATCTCAATTGGCTTTTAAGGTAAAACTAATGCAAATGTCCTGTGCCAACTCTTCAGTGGGTAATCTTTATCTCCCTCCAGTGGTTCTGGTGGATCAGACATCCCTGGCACCTGGGAGTGCATAAGGATACACGGGTCATGACTAATTCCAGGATAGCTGGCACCCACCTGCATAGTCCTCTCATAAGCTAAATGCACACAGATGGAGTGGAAAGTTTTTGGATTCACAGAGTCCCCTGCTGTCCCCAATGATCACATGCTGAGGGATTCCTACCCTAAGGGCATTGTGGTTCCACCTACTGCACATAGACTGCAGCTTTTCAAGAAGGCAGCTCATTACCACCTTCTCAAGAGCAATTAGGGATGGGCAATAAATGCTGGCCAGCCAGCGACACTCACATACCACAAGTGAATAGAAAAGATGCAGCTTTATTTATTCTCTCAGGCAGACTAGCCTTTTACATGTTGATGTGGAATTAATTTAGTTTCCCTTCAAACATTACTTCAACCCTTACCTTGATTCAATGGTGTGCTGAGACTTATGAGGTTCTGCAGAGCTCTCAGAATGACGCTAGGAATTATATCATTGCATAAAAATTCAAAGTATCTATTACCTTGAGAGCAGCAGGCACAGATTGAGCACAAACACAATTTGAAATCATCTCCCAGCCGCTTGCCACGCAGCTACGTGCTTGTCTCCTTAGAGAAATACTGACTGTAAACATCTTTGCACTCCAACAGCTGAAGGTAGAGACTCCTTTACCCTTTCTCATCAAGGATAGTATCATCTCCTATTGACTACTGTGGTCTCTCTTCTGCACAGTAGAAGGCATCTCACCTGCCTGGACCACAGAGCACCCCTGTCCTTGGATAGCTCTTCTCTGCTGTCTCCTGCTTTTCTTTTCCATTCCTACAGGAGGAGGAGCCTCCTCCCAACTACACAATTCCCATGATGAGGGAGATCCAGTTTCTGAGGCTGGCGACCTTCACCCTCAGTGTATCCCTATCTATAGGCTGTGTTCCCATGCATTCCCTCTGGAGCGCTTTTGTAGCACAGTGGTAGTTTCCCTACCTCTGAACCAAGTCCCACCTGTTCCAAAGGTATGTCATAATGTCTCTGAACATGTCGATTAGGGAAATTTCTGCAAGGCTATAGGCTAAGTGTTGGAAATGGCATTAGTATAGACCATAAGACCATTAGAAATAGGAACAGGAGTAGGCCGTTTGGACTGTCAAGCCTAATCCATCATTCAGTAGGATCATGGTTCATCTGAATTCCTCACATTCACTTTCTTGCATTTTTCCATAGATAACTGTTTGATGACTACTGTGAACATGATGGAGTGAAGGGCCTCTTTCTCTGCTGTAAAATCTCTACAACTTCTGAGGCTTTCAAGAAGGCATTGGATGTTTATTTGGATAAAAATAATATGCAAGGATAGGGGAAGAAAGGAGATTGGCACTAAGCAATGATACTCACTTCATGAGCTGGTGCAGGCACAATGGACCAAATGGCCTCCTTCCACACATAGAATCATAGAGTTTCAGAGATGTACAAGACGGAAACAAACCCTTCAGTCCACCTCATCCATGCCGACCTGATATCCTAAATTAATCTAGGCTCACTTGCCAACATATCCTTCTAAGTCCTTTCTATTCATATACCCATCCAGATGCCTTTTAAATGTTGTAATTGTACCAGCCTCCATCACCTTGTCTGGCAGCTCATTCCATATACATTGCACTCTCTGTGTGAAAATGTTGTCCCTTTGGTCCCTTTTAAATCTTTCACCTCTGTCCTCCAGTTTTGGACTCCCTTACCCTCAGGAAAGACCTTGACTATTACCCCTATCCACGCGCCTCATGATTGTAGGGGAAGCATGGTGGCTCAGTAGCCAGCACTGCTGCCCCACAGCGCCAGGGACCTGGGCTGAACTCCATTTTCGGGCAACTGTCTGTGTGGAGTCCACACACTCTCCCCATGTCTGCGTGGGCCTCTTCCAGATGTTCCTGTTTCCTCCCACAGTCCAAAGATGTGCAGGTAAGGTGGACTGACCATGCAAAATTGCCCATAGTATAAGGACATCTGTGATAGTTCTTCTGGTAGCTTGAAACAGTAAGTAAATGAAGTCACAAAGCTGACAAACACTGCCTGATTCAGCAGCACCTGTGGCCTAATTCACTAACCTATCCATCTGCCCCAGCACTGCCTCCTCACACCAGGCATAACCCACTCCAATGTTTCCCTATGGACCTAATCATAAATAGAGTAGGCCGCATAAAGCCCTGGGTGATTGGATGGTTAACAAACTCAAATCCTCTTCAATTAGTCTTTCTTAAAAATGACAGACTTCTATGTTTGGTGTCTTTCTGCATCATCAGAGAATGGCCTTTTTTTAATTCATTCACGAGACATGGGCTCCATTGGCTTGGCCAGTATTTATTGCTGTGGATCTGGAGTTGCATCTAGACCAGACGACAGATTTCTTTCCCTGAAGGATATTAGTGAAACAAATGGGTTTTTATGACAGTTGATGATGTTGGTTGGTGAATATTATGTGTACACAGGAGATGCAATGCACCTGATTTCAGAAAGAAAACGTGTCCCTTTGTTTCCTGACTTGCCCAATCTCCATTCCCTTTCACTCTGGAAGGCTAGGTTTTCTGTCATTCAATTTCTCCTGCCTTGCACACACAGGCCTTCTTTCCAAGAACTTCCTCTTGTCCTTGGCCCACCTCTAACAAGTAACAAAATCTCCATCATTGTTCACCATCATAATGGTATTGTTATATGGATCTTTGGCTGATCACAGAAACCAAGTGGGATGTCTTGTATAGATTTGCAATCACCAACCCTTCTGGCTGGTGTTAGTCTAAATTACTGATATTGAGTCGGGAAGGATGCCCACCTGAAGTCTCAGGCAGAAGATAGGCTCAGTTTTTGGAAACACAATGAGTTTATAACACATTACCTAATTGTCAGCTACAATTATATTAGTGATTCAAGATGAGACATCAGGCTCAATTTAAGAATAAGTTCAGGTTACTGCAACCGAAACATTCTGATACATAATATCTGAACCACTTGAACTAACTGGTTAGTTTCTACCAGGAGAATCCCAATGTGCAAAGCTTATTTCATTGTGCCAGTTCACCCCTTCAGATAGTAGCTACCTCATACACAGCCATTGTCGCAAACCTATTGAATTTCTAACTTTTCTCAGTTTTGACAAAATGTCACAGCCCTGAAACATTTGTTCTGCTTTTCTCCATACAAACACTGTCTGACCTATTGAGTTTTCGTCCAGCGTTTCCCACTTTCATTTCAGATTCCACCATCGTACTATTCTGCAATTTAATTAGCGTCAGCTCTCAAAGGACTTTGAGCTCATTCAGCCAGCCTTTTGGAACAAAAATCAGGGCAACCAGCAATGAACAACAACAACTTGGGCCCTGCCATGGGGAATAACTTGAGCTTCCTGGAGAGATGCATGAAGACTTAGAGGTGCCATGAGCTAACCAGGCTGAAGACAGGAAACAGCAGGATCGATTCATGCTAAATAAAAACCAAAAGAGCTGCAGATGCTGTAAATTAGGAATAAAAACAGAAGTTGCTGGAAAAGTTCATCAGGTCTGGCAGCATCTGTGAAGAAATATCAGAGTTGTGTTAACTGAGTTCTGAGGAAGGGTCAGTGGACCGAAACATTAACTGTGATTTTCCTTCACAGATGGCGGTACGATGGCTCAGTGGTTAGCACTGCTGCATCATAGCGCCAGGGTTCGATTCCACCCTCAAGCAACTGTCTGTGTGGACTTTGCATGTTCTCCCTGTGTCTACGTGGGTGTCCTCTGGATGTGCCAGTTTCCTGCCACGGTCCAAAGATGTGCAGGGTAGGAGGACTGGCCATGCTAAATTGCCTGTAATGTCCAGGGATGTTTAGGTTAGGTGGGTTTGACATGGGAAATGCAAGGGGTAGGAAATGAGTCTGGGTGGGATGCTCTTTGGAGGGGCAGTGTGGACTTGTTGGGCTGAATGGCCTGTTTCCACACTGCAGGGATTCTCTGAATCTACGAATTCTATGCTGCCAGGCCTGCTGAGATTTTCCAGCAACTTCTGTTTATGATCGATGGATACTATTTGTTTTGGGGACTAGGCCTGGGAATGGTGTGTCCACCTGCTCCAAACTATGACTAGGGGATTTGATCCAGTTTGTGTTTCTCTTCAAAGGTCAGTATGTGAGTGTGGGTACCCCAGGGAACATCACAGTGAGGAAGCCATTAACCTGGGTCATTTACACAGTGAGAGATGGAATACCTTGAAACACCTCCAGCAAGTCCCAACCGATGCATTTGGAGACATAGCATTTAAAGGACAAGGGCAGAAGACGGCAAAGGTTTGTGAATCCATCCTGACCGTGTCCCACTTTCACTTCAGTTTAGAAGGTTAGCCGTCAATCTTCCTTTCTATTCAGAAGTCACATGACACCAGGTTATAGTCCAACAGGTTTATTTGAAATCACGTTTTCTGAGCAATGCTCCTTCGTCGGGTATTGTATGAATTTTGACTTTGTCCACCCCAGTCCAACACCGACACTGCCACATCATTCTGTCCTATTGGCACCCATATCCTACCCATTGGACCTATTTAAACCACTTGAATAGGATGTTAAGTGCCCTGGAAGAGTGGCTATCTGTGATGGGAGGGAAAAGCAGATTAAAGTGTGAAAATAACTAGTTCATCAGCGTCCTCAGTAAAATACCAGGAACTTTTGGTTCTCTGAGCTTTGAAATGCCATTCGACGGCAGTGGAGATTTTGTTATAACTTGAATACACAGAATTCCTGCAAGCCAGCAGGTCAAACTTGGAAGCAGAACTGCAGTGAGTCGCTGAGCTGAGCATCTGCCAGACAGGAAAAGCTTTAAGAGACCTTGGAGCTGACTCCTTGCATAAGTGAAAGGTGTTTGCTCACAGGATGTATTCTGGAAGTGTGACTAAAAGTTGTTTCCATTACTATTGATGACATCTTTACTGCCATGAGCGTTTCATCTTTGAACTTCCTTTCATCATGAGTTCAGATAGCTAATGTGCTCGACATCGGAGAACGGCAGAGTCTCACGAGGCTCAGACCTTAATGCAGTGGTTGCAAACATTGCTTCACCCCTCTCAACAACCCCTACTCCATGAGGGCTCTGCCATCATAGATTTGGAAATGCTGTCTAAGGATCCATGGAGAATTTCTAAAGTGCATCTTGTAGATGGCAAATACTGCCGCTCCTGAGCATCAGTGGTGGAGGGAGTGAATATTTATGGATATGGTACCAATCAAGTGGAGCTGCTTTGTCCTGAATGGTGTTGAGCTTCCTGAGTGTTGTTGGAGCTGCACCCATCCAGGCAAGTGGGGAGTATTCCATCACACTCCTGACTTGTGCCTTGTGCTTTGGGGTGTCAAGAACTGAGTTACTCACTGCAGTATTCCAAGCCCCATGATCTGCTCTTGTAGTCACTGCATTTATATAGTGAGTCTGGTTCAGTTTCTGGTCAATGGTAACCCCCGGTGATGGTAATGCCACTGAATGTCAAGACATGAAGTTTAGATTCTCTCTTGTTCGAAGATGGTAATTGCCTGACATTTGTGTGGTGCGAATCTTACTAGCCAGCCCAAACCTGGATATTGCCCAGATCTCTGCATTTGGACGTGGACTGCTTTGGTATCTGAGGAGTCGTGAACACTATGTGGCCAAAGGGTGAGACAGCATTAGAGACAAGGTAGAAAAAAAATTATGAGTGGTTCTAGTGCTGAGGAAGTTCAGTTGCATAGATAGATCAGAGATGTTGGGTCTGTTTTCCTTCAAGAAGAGAAGGTGGAGAAGCGATTTGAATGAAGTGTTTAACAGCATGGGGGCCAAGACAGAGTGTATATGGAGAATTTGTTTCCATTAGTGGAAGGATAATGAATCAGGGAGCACAGATTTAATTAATCAGAAGCAGGGAGCAGAGGTAACTTATCTGAAGCAGCAATGGTGACATGAAGAGAAATGTTTTCATGCAGTCAGTGTGATTATCATCTGAAATGTACTGCACATGAGTGCAGTGGACACATTTCAATTGAGACTTTCATGAGGGAATTGAATCATTATTAGAAAAGGAAGAATGTACAGGTTATAGGAAAGGGCTCAAATTAAATTTCTCCTTCAGTGAGCCAGCACAGACTCAATAGGATTGATAACTTCTCTTTGTACTGTAACCGTTCTGTAAAATCTATGATTGGTGAACATTCCCACTTCTGACCTTATCATGGAGGGAAGGTCGTTGGTGAAGTAACTGAAGACGGTTGGATCTGAGGAACTCCTACAGAGGTGTCCTTGACTGACCTCCAACAACTACGTACGTGTTCCTGTGTGCAAGGTATGACTCCAACAAATGTAGAGTTATCTTAGTCTGTCATGGAATGTAGGTGACACTACAATATGGCATTTGTTTCCTACCCTTAATTACCCTTGAACTGATTAGTTTGCAAGGTCATTTCAGAGGGCAATTAAGACTCATCCACATTGTGGTTGGTTGGCTCGCCGAGCTGGTTCGTTGTTTTTCCGCGGACGTTTGATTACCCTGCTTGGTAACATCATCAGTGCAGCTCCGATGAAGTGCCGTTGTGTTTTACCGCCTGGTATTTAAACTCTGGAGTCCATTGAGCTGGATTACCTCATTTCCAGCTTTCCTTCGCAGTGGAGTGTAAATGGGGTTGAGCTCTATGTGTTTGTTAATGGCTTTCTTCATGGAGTACCAGGCTTCTAGGAATTCCTGCACTTGTCTCTGCTTTGCTAGTCCCAGGATCTTGGCGTTGTCCAAGTCAAATTGGTGGTTCTCCTTATCCATATGGATAGAGATGAGTGAGAATTGGTTGTGTCCTTTTGTAGCCAATTGATGTTCGTGTACCCTTGTTGTTAATTTCCTTCCTGTTTGTCCGATGTAGTGTTTGTCACAGTCTCTGCAGGGAATCTTGTGTATGACATTGGTCCTGTCCATAGTGGGTAGTGGGTCTTTGGTTCAGGTGAGCAGTTGTGCTAGGGTTGATGTGGGTTTGTGTGCTGCTCTGATGCCTAATGGTTGTAGGAGTCTTGTGGTCAGTTCAGATGTGTTCCTGATGTAAAGTAGCGTGATGAGTGTGTCGGGGCACGTAGCATCTTCCTGGTGTCGTTCATGTCAGAGGCATCTTCTGACCCAGTTTTTTTTTTGGGTATCCATTGTCTTTGAATACCTGCAAGAGGTACTCTTCTTCTTCTTGGCGTAGCTCTTAACTGCTGCAGTGTGTTGTTGCCAGTTTAAATAATATTCTACACAACTTCGTTTATGTGTGTTGGGGTGGTTGCTGTGGAAGTTCAATACTTGGTCAGTGTGTGTGGCTTTCCTGTGCACTTTTGTTAGGAATTCCCCATTTGTCCTGTGCTCTTCCATGACTTCCATATACACTCCACTGCGAAGGAAAACTGGAAGTGAGGTTATGACTCTGATATCTATCATGCTATTCCAGCCACTTGGTTTATCTCCATGACCACCTTATTTTTAGTTTTTTATAATTATCTCTGTATCTCATTTAATTGGATTACAGGTCATCCCTTCACTTGTTATTTAGCTGTTGACACTTAACTCACACTGTCTGACACTTTTGATCACTTGCAGAGATTTATTATTCGACACCCACACCATTTTTTGATCTTTTGATCTCTCTGCCCTTGATCTCTCTGCCTATAAATTCTGTGTCTGTGTGCTTCTCTCACTTCACATGATGAAGGAGCTACGCTCCGAAAGTTTGTGATTTCAAATAAACCTGTTGGACTGTAACCTGGTGTCATATGCCGTCTGACTTTGTCCACCCCACTCCAACACCAGCATCTCCACATCATGAAAAAGAAATCAAGGCTAGAGAACTCAGGGAAATAAATATTGATGTTTGAAAACAGTTCACATTACAGAAGAGGAAGTCCTGGAGATCTTAGAAAACATAAAGGCAGATTAATTTCCAGGACCTGATCGAGTGTATACCAGGACACTGGCAAGTTAGGGAAGAAATTGCGGGGCCCCTAACAGAAATATTTGGCTTAATGTCAGGAGACAGAGAGTAATGGTAGAGGGTTGCTTTTTGGTCTAGATGCTTGTGACCAGCAGTGTTCCACAGGGATCGGTTCTGGGTCCTCTTTTCTTTGTCATTCATGGAAATAATTTGGATGAGCATATAGAAGCCATGATTAGAAAGTTTATGGACGACACCAAAATTGGTGGCATAATAGACAGTGAAGAAGGTTTTCTAAGATTACAAAGGGATCTTGATCAAATAGGTCAATGGGCTGAAAAATGGCAGATGGATTTCAATTTGGATAAATTTGAAATATTGTGTTTTGGTACAACAAACAAGGGTAGGGCTTATGCAATTAATGGTAGTGCCTTGGGTAGTGTTGTAGAACAGGGGGAACTAGGGTACAGGTGCATAATTCTTCGAAATTTGTGTCACATATAGAGAAGATAGTTAAAAAGGCCTTTGGCATGCTTGCTTTCATTGCTCAGTCCTTTGCGTATATGAGTTGGGAAGTCATGTTGAAATTGTACAGGACATTGACGAGGCCTCTTCTGGAGTACTGTGTACAGTTCTGGTCACCCAGTTATAAGAAGAATATTATAAAGCTGGAGAGGGTTCAGAAGAGATTTACCAAGATGTTGCTAGGTATGGAAGGTTTGAGTTATAAAGAAAGGCTGGATAGGCTTGGAATTTTTTCACTGGAGCATAGGAGATTGAGGGGCAACCTGATAGAAATTTATAAAATAATGAGAGGTATAAATAGAGTTGTCTTTTCCCCAGAATGGGGGATAGAACGTAGAACATAGAACAGTACAGCACAGTACAGGCCCTTCGCCCCACGATGTTGTGCTGGACTTTTACCCTAAATCTAAGGCCTATCTAACCTCCGCCCCTACCTTATATTTTTAAGGTATTACTAAGGTGACAGGAGAGAGATTTAATGAAGACATAAGAGGCAATTTTTTTACACAGACGGTGATTCGCATGTAGAATGAACTTCCTGAGGAAGTGGTGAATGTGGGTACAATTACAACTTTTAAAAGACATTTGGATAGATACATGAATAGGAAAGGTTTGGCAGGATATAGACCAGGAGCAGACAGGTGGGACTAATTTAGTTTGGGATTATGTTCAGCATGGTCTGGTTGGACTAAAGGGTCTTTTTCCACACTGTATGAGCTTATGACCTATCTGCATCCAACCCAGCAGAGATTTCAGGATCCCCGTACCCACTCATCCTCAAACTCGATTAGTGGGCCATCTCCATCATCTTCTTCCAGTTTGCTTACAATGTGCACATCACCTTGTGACAATGAGTGAGTTGTCTTGTGTGTCCCACTGAGCTTTGCAAAGCTAAGCTGCTGAAGGAATCAGGTGATTTTGTGTGCTTCTACATTCTCAGAGTGCATGACCTCCTGTTAGAAGAGTGTTACAAATATGCACACAAAAATTGAGCAGGCATAAACCAATCAGGCCCTCAAGCCTGGAATGCCATTCAATAAGATAATTGCAGATGTGACTCTGCTTCATCCTCTGCCAATTAATAGAAAATGAACTTGAAAGTTAGCCCCTTATTGATGGCCATGACAACAATCAAGTATGAAACAAAACTGGAGATTAGAAAAAAAGCCTATTTGACTGGAAGTCTATAATTGCCTGACACAGAGTCTGCTTATTCTGTCATGGCCAGTGGTAGGTCATGGTGATAGATGCGCTGAGTGACCAGTAGTCAGAGGGTGTGATCATTGCAGTTGGTGTCATTTGATGAATCCTCCTGAAATAGAGGCTACCAGGATTAACGACATGTGACACGAATAACACATGTGCCCAACTCTTATTTTCAGTATGCCCGAGTCTCAAATGACACTGCTCCAGCAACACTCTACCATCTTATGACTGAGTACTGGGGACTAACCCCTCCACATCTTCTCATTTCTGTAACTGGAGGGGCGAAGAACTTTCACTTGAAGCCAGGCCTGAGAGTCATGTTCCGGAGAGGCCTAATTAAAGTGGCCCAGTCGACAGGTGTGACACAACCATCATTTTTAAATATGTTCCTGATGATTTTAGAAGTTATCAGTTGTGTTAAGGCCTTTCTAGATCTCTGTTGTACCTTTCTGATTTGTAATACGTGAACCAGAATTGGGCGCAAAACTCTATTGCTTCAATTCAGATCGTGCATGAGTTTAAACCTATGTCTGCTCTTGATTCTGTTTCTTTAGAAATGAATGCCATTGCTTTATTTACATTGTTATAAGTTTGTTAGTCTATGTTCTGAGATAATGATTATTGAACCTGTATCTCTGAAACCCTCTCATCCTCCACCCCATTTGCAATTTCAGAGAGAGCATGGCCTCTTTAACCAGTTATTGGTGTTGACATTCATTTGCCATTTCAAAACATCCTGCAGGTTATTCAAGTCTTTGTTGATTTTGTCAGGCTCCTTCAGTGTTATCAACACTTCCTAGTATCATCTCATCTGTAATCCTGATAACGTATTTCAGTGCACAAGTCAGTGAGCAGTCAGTCCTGTCTTCTCCTGCTGGATACATTGTTTCATTACTAAAATTAGTTTTCTTGTGTTTCAGTCCTGATGATGCAAAATGAAAAGCATCGATGTCATCTCTTTCCTTGTTTAGCAATTCTTAAATTCTGTAGGACTAAGCAATTCCTAATGCACAAGTATAATGGTGTCCCCAAATCTCTTCCCTAACTTCCTTTAATACGTCTGTGGAATGTTTTGTGATTCCATTTCATATTCTTCATTTCAAAGTTACTTTTCACTTTGACATTATTTATAAGTTATTTAGCCATGTCCTTCCTCGTTGGTTTAGAAACGTAGGGACATAGAAAGTAGGAGCAGGAGAACACCATTCAGCCCTTTGAGCCTGCTCTCCCATTCAATATGATCATCCAATTCAATACCTGGTTCCCATTTTTCCTTTAGAATTATATCTGTTTCCTACTTGAAAACATTCAATGCTTTGGTTTCAAGACTCACTAGATGAAGAAATTTCTGCTCATCTCAGTTGAAATGGCCTAACCTATATGTTTGAACTGTGACCTCTTGTTCTGGACTCCCCAGCCACTGGGAGACAATGCTTTCTGTGTTTATACTGTCTGGACTTGTTTGAATTTTTAGGTTTCTATGAGATCCCCCTCATTCTTCTAAACTCCAGTAAATACAGTCCTAACTGAGTAGATAAAAACCGAAAAAACTGCGGATGCTGTAAATCAGGAACAAAAACAAAGTTGCTGGAAAAGCTCAGTAGGTCTGGCAGCATCTGTGAAGTAAAAAACATAGTTAACTTTTCGGGTCCGGTGACCCTTCCTCAGAACTGGTGGTGGCAGGGAAAACGTCAGTTTATATGCAGAAAATAGGGAGGTGGGTGGGGTAGAGAGTAAACAATAGGATAGAGGCCAAAGAGAGAGAAAGACAGTTGGACAGACAAAGGAGTTGCTAACAATCAGGCTGGGAGGGTGATTAGTTGTTAATGGGGACTGTTCGTGATTAACGACAGAGGGTGTGTAATGGCAGGCTATGTGGTAACAAGGTGTAGACTTGGCGACAAGTTTGCAGAATATCTATGTTCTGCTGGCAAAAAAGACCCAGAACTACCCGTTGCCTGCCACTTCAACACACCACCCTGCCCCCTGGCCAACATCTCCATCTCTGACTTGCTGCAGTGTTCTCACAAAGCCCAATGCAAGCTGGAGGAACAATACCTCATTTTTCGCTTGCGGACCCTACAGCCCTCCAGAGTCAATATCGATTTCAATAATTTTAGGGCCTAAACTCTCCCATGTCCCAGCCCCCTACCCCACACACCAGGCCTTGTTACCACATAGCCTGCCATTACACACTCCCTGTCGTTAATCACGAACAGTCCCCATTAACAACTATTCACCCTCCCAGCCTGATTGTTAGCAACTCCTTTGTCTGTCTAACTGTCTTTCTGTCTCTTTGGGCTCTATCCTATTGTTTACTCTCTACCCCACCCACCTCCCTATTTTCTGCATATAAACTGATGTTTTCCCTGCCACCACCAGTTCTGAGTAAGGGTCACCGGACCCGAAACGTTAACTATGTATTTTCCTTCACAGATGCCGCCAGACCTACTGAGCTTTTCCAACAACTTTGTTTTTATTTCTAACTGAGCTGTCTATCTTCACACATCATCAGAAATCAGTCTGGTAAACCATTACTGCATTCCCTCCATGGCTGAGATAGGGATTCTATGATTCTATAAAGAGACAAAAACTGTGCAGATTACTCCAGGTGTGGTCTCATCAAAGCTCTGTATAATTGCAGCAAGACATTCCTCCTCCTGTGATCGAATCCTCTCACAATGAAGTACAACATACTGCTTGCCTCTTCACTGCCTGCTGCACCTGCACGCTTACTTCTGGTGTACAGAGAAATCAAGATCTCGTTGCATATTCACCTCTCACAATTTACAGCCATTCAGATAAAAATCCGTTTTTCTGTTTTTGCTCCCAAAGTAGGTAACCTCACATTTTATCCACATTACCTGCAGTGCATTTCGACAGTCACTCAACTTGTCACAATCACACTTCAACATCTCTTCATCATCCTCACTCTTCACCCATCCACTCACCTTTGTGTCATCTGCAAGTTTGTAGATTTTAGATTCAGTCCCCTCATCTAAAACATGACTATATATAGCAGATTCTGTGAGCCTTGACATTTACCCCTCTGTTTTTCTCCCAGGAGCATGGATTATCACAGGAGGTACCTTTGCTGGGGTAATGAAGCACGTTGGAGAGTCAGTGCGACACTGTAAGATGACCAGCCGATCCAAGAAACAACAGATTGTGTCCATTGGCATTGCTAGCTGGGGCATTGTGCATAACCGAGAGAGTCTGATATCTGAAGAGGTGAGCTATATAGGAAGAGCATACCTAATAGCTGGAGAGATGATCATAAGAAAGAAAGAGACTGATTAGTGAACAGGTGAGCCACAGAGAGCGAGCCTGATAGCTTGAGAGATGAGTGATATATATAGACAGAGAACCTGATAGCTGAATAGGTGAGCGACAGAGGGAGAGAGTAGCCGATGGCTGGAGAGATGAGCATCAGAAAGAGAGAGCTTGATAGCTGGAGACATGAATGGTAGAGAGAGAGAACTTCATATCTGTTGCCATCAGGCATAGAGAGAGAGAGACAGAAAGAGGGAGAAAGAGAGAGAGACTAACAGCTGGAGAGGTGAGCCTTAGGGAGACAGTCTGCTAGCTGGAGAGTTAGTGATATAAAGAGAGATTGAGAGCCTGATAACTGAACAGGTGAACTAAAAAGAGAGAGAAACTGATAGCTGGAGAGGTAAGCTGTAGTGAGAGTGCCTGATCATGGGAAAGGTAAATAAGAGAGAAAGAGAGAGAGTGAGCCTGATACCTACAGAGGTAAGCCATACAGAGAGAAAAAACAAGACAGCCTGACAGCTGGTGATGTGAACTGTAGGGAGAGAGATGAGACTTGGATAGCAGGAGACGTGAGCTGATATTTGGAGGTGAGCCATAGAAAGAGAGAGGGAAAGCGCTTCATAGATGGAGAAGTGTGATATATAAAGAGAGGAAGAGCCTCAGAAAGGTGAACCATAGAGAGAACCAGATAGCTGGAGAGAGCTAAGCCATAGAGAGAGAGAATGATATCTGGAAAAGTGCACCATAGAGCAAGAAAGAAAGCTTGATAGCTGGAATGGTGAGTGAAAGGGACAGAGAGCCTGATAACTGGAGATGTGATCCATAGAGTGGAAGAGATAGAGAAGCCCATTGATCCAGTTGATCTAGATCCCATTGTACTCTTTTATAACCTTCTTCACTGTCCACAATACCAACCAATTTTTGCGTCATCCACAAACTTACTAACTCTGCCTCCTATATTCTTATCCAAATCATTTACATAAATGATGAACAACAGTGAAGCCAGCACTGATCCTCTGTGGCATACTACTGGTCATGGGCCTCCAGTATGAACAACATTCCTGTGCTACCACCCTCTGTCTCCTACTGTCAAGCCAATTTTGTATCCAATTGGCTAGCTCTCCATGGATCCCATGTGATCTAACCTTACTAACCAGTCTACCATGTGGAATCTTGTCAAAGGCCTTGCTAAAGTCCATGTAGACAATGTATACCTCTTTTCCCTCATCTATCTTCTTGGTCACTTCTTCACAAAACTTAATCAAGTTTGTGAGACACGACTTCCCATGCACAAAACCATGCTCACTATCCCTAATCAGTCCTTGCCTTTCCAAATACATGTAGATTGTGTCTCGCAGGTTCCCCTCCAACAGCTTACCTACCACTGACCTCAGGTCTGTAGTTCCCTGGCTTTTCCTTGCAGGAATAACAGCATAGCATTAGCCACACTCTAGGCTTCTGACACATCACCCTGGCTACTAATGATGCATGACAAAGAGATGCTGATAATTGGAGAGGTGAGCAGTAGAGACAGAGCCTGAAAACTGAAGATGTGAGCCACAGGGAGTGAGAGAGACAATGAACCTGATAGCTGAAGAGATGACTGCTAGAGAGAGAGTTGAGCAATAGAGAGAGAGAGTCTGATAGCTGAAGAGGTGAGGCATAACTGGGGAGGGCGAGAGTTTTACAGCTGGAGGGGTGAGCCTTAGAGAAAAAGCTTGGTAGCTGGAGAGGTGAATCACCGAAAGTGAGAGAGCCTGATTACTGGATAGGAGAGAGAAAAAAAAATCCTGATAGAGAGAAGAGCGAGACAGAGACAGAACATCATAGCTGCTGATATATGCCATAGCGAGAGGAAAAGGTGAGTCTGATGGCTGGAGAGATGAGCCAAAGGGAGAGTGAGATCCTGATAGCTAGAGAGGAGAGGCAAGCTATAGGGGCAAAAAGAGCTTGAAAGCTGGAAGTGAGATACTGATGGAGAGGTGAGAGACTGATAGCTGGAGAGATGGGTGATAGAGACAGTGAGTGAGCCCAGGAACAAATTACAGCGGATGCTGGAATCTGTACTGAGAATAACCATTGCTAGAGATCACAGTGGGTCAGACAGCATCCATCGAGATAGAGCAAGTTTACATTTCGAGTCTAGGTGACTCTTCATCAGAGCTGAAGTGAAGTGTGGAGGGGACAATATTTATGCTTTTGTTTGGGCAGTGGGGGTGATGGATATGGGACTAGTGGGTGTAGGGTGTTGGTGGAGAAAAGATGTTAATAGTTCAGATTAACTGTTTGGAATGTGAGAATGACAGAACAATGGCGTGTCTCCTGCCAGACTTGAAAGGACAGTAACGGGGATGGGAGGAGGGGAGGACATGGTAGCAAACTAAAAGAAAAGGAAGAAATAGTTCACAATTTAAAAATGTTGAACTCAATATTATGTCCAGAAAGCTGTAAAGTGCCAAGTCTGAAGATGAAATGTTGTTCCTCCAATTTGCGCTGTGATTCACTGGAGCACTGCAGCATGCCGAGGACAGACAAGTGGGCATGCAAGCAGGACACTATGTTAAAATGACTGGCTATGGGAAGGTCGGGATCATGCTTGTGCACAGACTGGAGGTGTTCTGCAAAGTGGTCACCCAGTCTGCATTTGGTTTCTCCAACGTAGAGTAGGCCACATTAGTTGCAGCGAATGCATACACAAGATTAGAGGAGGTTCAGGTAACATGCTGCTTCTCCTGGAAAGACTGTTTAGGCTCTTGGATGGTGAGCAGGGAGGAGGTGAAGAGACAGATATTGCACCTTCTGTGGTTACATGGGAAGGTGCCGTGGAGAGAGGGATGTTGTTGGTGGTTGTGGAATGTACTAGGATGTTCCGGAGGGAACGATGCCTGTTAAATGCAGACAGGGGGAGTGAGGGGAAGATGCGTTTGGTGGTGGCGTTCTGCTGGAGTTGTCTGAAATGGCAGAGAATGATCCTTTGAATGTGGAGGCTGGTGGGATGAAAAGTGAAGACAAGGGGAACCCGTTCACACTGTTGTGAGTGATGGGAAGGGGCAAGCGCAGAAGCACGAGTGATAGATCTTATGCTGTTGAGGGCCCTATCTACCACAGTGGGTGGGAAACCATGGTAGACGAAGGAACTGGGAGAATGGGATGGAGTCCTTGCAGGACATGGGGTGTGATAAGCTGTAGTGAAGGTAGCTATGGGAGTCAGTAGCTTTGTAGTGGATAGCAGTGGATGGTTTATTTCCCGAAACGGAGACAGAGAGGTCAAGGAAAGGAAGGGAAGTGTTATAAATGGGCGATATGAAACCTACAGAGGGGTGAAAATTGGAAGAAAAATGAATGAAGTTTTCAAGGTCCTGGCGGGAGCATGAAGTGGCATCAAAGCAGTCATCAATATACCGAGAAGAGAGTTGTGGGATGGGTCCAGTGTAAGACTGAAATAAGGATCGTTCCACATACCCCATAAAGAGGCAGGCATTACTGGGACCTATGTTGGTGCCCATAGTGGCTCCTTTGACTTGGCAGAAGTGAGATGAATTAAAGGAGAAATTGTTCAGTGAGAGAACAAGTTCAACCAGGCGGACAAGAGTGGTGGTGGATTGGGGCTGTTCAGGCCTCTGGTCAGAGAGAGACCCTGGTAGCTGGAGAGTTGGTCAATAGAGAGAAAGAGCACTAAAGGTGGAGAGATTAGTGGTAAATGGAAAGAATCTGATAGCTGGAGAGGTAAGTGAGAGAGAAACTGTTAGCTGGAGAGATGGGCAGTAGAGTGAATGAGAAAGAAAGAGTCTGATAACTGGAGACGTGAACCATAGAGTGTGAGAGACTGATAGCTGGATGGGGTGAACCATTGAAAGAGAGCCAGAAACTTGGTGAGGTGAGCAATAGAGAGAGAAAGATAGTCTAATATTGAGAGCTGAGCCATTCAGTGAGAGAGATTGATACCTATCGAGGTGAGTGATAGAAAGAGGGAGTCTGACAGCTGGAGAGGTGACGTAGAGAGAGAGAGAGAGAGAGATCCTGATAGCTGGAGAGGTAAGCCATAAAAACAGAGAGAGCTTAATATCTATAGGGGTGAGACATAACAACAGAGAGAGAGCCTATCAGGTGGAGAAGTGAGCAATAGAGGGACAGAGAAAGAGAAGCTGAGATCTGGAGAGGTGAACCACAGAGAGGGAGAGACTGAGATCTGGAGAGATGAACAACAGAGAGAGAAAGGGGGACTGATAGTGGGTGAGAGGAGCTACAGAGAGAGGGAGACAGTGTGTTTCTGAAGAAGTGAGCCAAAGAGAAAGAGAGAGCCTGATAACTGGAGAGGTAAGCCACAAAAAAAACAGAGAGAGCCTGAAGAATGTAAGATGAGCCACAGCAAGAGAGAAACAGCTTGACAGCTGGAGGTGTGAGCCAGAGAGAGAAAGCCAGAGAGAGATAGCTGAAGAGGTAAGCCACAGAGAGCAAAAGAGAGAGAAAGAGAGAGAGGGGAGGAGAGACTGATTGCTGGAGAGGTGAGCCATAGACAAAATGAAAGAGAAACTAACTTTTAGAGAGATGAGCCAAAGAGAGAAACAGAGTCTGTTATCTGGAGAAGTGAACCATAGAGGGGGAAAGTACCTGATAGCTGGAGAGGTGAGCCACAGACCATAGAACATAGAACAGTACAGCGCAGTACAGGCCCTTCGGCTCACAATGTTGTGCTGACCTATTATCCTAGGTTTTATCCCTGCATACCCTACATTTTACTATCCTCCATGTGCCTATCCAAGACTCGCTTAAAAGTCTCTAAAGTATCTGACTTCATTACCACTGCCGGCAGCGCATTCCACATGCCCACCACTCTCTGTGTGAAGAACCTACCTCTGACATCTCCCCCATACCTTCCTCCAATCACTTTAAAATTATGCTCCCTCGTAATAGTCATTTCCACCCTTGGAAAAAGTCTCTGACTATCCACTCTATCT